AAAGGCAGAATTGGGTCTACACTGTTTGGACCTACTGGCTCATGGTACAATGGCATAACTGGGTCATGGTAACAAGACATACCTGAGTCAATGTGTTTGCAGTTAGATACATGCTAATTATGGTGATATATGCTATATATGGACACTGTTTCACTGCTTGATTATGTGAAATGTGGGAAAAAGTTGTACTGATGTACTACTGACACAGTAGAAAAAGATAATTTAGTAAAAAAAATATCAATATTCTTAAATTCATTGACAGCTATCTCGCTTACTGGTAAGAGATCAAGTTCATTGCATATGTGTAAATTGTGTGACCTTTACCCAACATCAAAAGGTTGAGTTAAAAATGTCACAGAATGAATTGACTTTGTTTCATGAGACAGCCAATGTATGAATAAAATCCATCACCAGAGATTAGAAAATACAAGCAAATAAAACATAACTTTTAACCAAAACCAAAACACAAATATTATAATACTGTGACCTTGACATGTATAACAGAACGAATTATAAGCATGTATAAGCATGCATAACAGACCAAATTGTCTTAACTTCATAATGATTCACTCCAAGTATGAATAAAATGTATCTAGTTGCTTTGGAAATATAAACAAATTAAAAACTGTAACCAAAACTGTGGCAAAAAGTTTACTGACCTTGACTGAAGTGATGAGAGCTCATTTTGAGAGATGATTTATTTTAGCTTCATTTATTATGAAATTTCATCATGAGGTTTAGAAAATATAAGGAAATGAAAAATGTTAACCAACTCTTTGATGCATACTTTCTTTGAATGAGACCTTGACTTCCTTGATTTCATGGTCAACAAGGCAAGTGAACAGTGGATGAATTATCTAACCTGTCATACTGACTCAACCTAAGTATGAAGAAATTGTATCAAGGAGTTTTTGGATATCATTAACAAATTTAAAAATTAAAATCAAAATTTGAATGACTGTGACCTTGGCCCAACCTTCACCCAAGTGGTAAGAACATGTCTAGCAGATTGATCTGTCGTAGCCTCATCAATCCCATGTCAGAAGAAAATCCATCATAGGGTTTATGCAAATGAGAAAAACCTTAACCAAAATTTTAATGCAGATGTTCTTTGCATTTGCCCTTGATCTCAAGGTAACTTCTATTGCCATGGCTATAGGTCCTACCAATTTGAACATTTGACCTTGATCCCAAGGTCAAAGGGGCAAGTGACCATGTCACCAAAAGAATTATCTTAGCTTCCGAGAATGAAGGAAATCCAATGGGTTAAGAAAATAAAAGCAAATGAAAAATGTAACCAAAAAGTTTTGCAAAATTTAATTTAGCTTCATAGATCCCATGTTGGAAAAAAACTGATCCTGTTAGTTAGGAAGTACAAGCAAACATACTTAAATCAAAACCTTAATGCAAATGTGATCTTGACCCCATGTTCATAGAAATGAGCAAGCATATCATAAAATGAATTGCTTTAACTTGATAATGAATATTGCCAATTATAATAACAATACTTGATAATGAATAATGCCAATTATAATAACAATACTTGATAATGAATAATGCCAATTATGAAAATCAATATATCAACAGGATAATGAAATACCAATTTTTTCCTAGTAAATAAGTTTTTTTTAACTAGTAACAGGCAAGAGGTCAAGTGTGCTACATATGCTTCCCTGGAGAGATAATTTATGGTCCCCTAAGTTATGTGTGACAGCTTCAAGATAAACCAACTGGAGATTAGACACGGGAAGGGGGAAGGAGCAGTCACAAGAGGGAAAATGTTCCCTCAAACAAATGAAGTGCAAGTTGTGAAGCCAAGCCTTTGTGAAGATGTCAAACAACTCAGGAAGGTAACTTCTATTGCCATGGCTATAGGTCCTACCAATTTGAACAATTTCCAAGAAAAAAGCTGGAGAAAATTTATTCTGACCTCCATCCGACAGCATGGACAAGGTCAGTTATGTAACAGTTTTGCTGCAATGTAATGCCTGTGGCAGCTGCTCTAGCTTTGTGAGATGAAATGTATTTGATTTGGGATCATTACATGATATTTGGAACTCTGGCTTTGTTCATTTTAAGTACCACTTCAGAGCTTGCACTCGATGATATTGTGATGAAGTTTCCAGAGAAAAGGTATTTCACTACAAAAGTCAAATTCCCCATGAACAGGTGCTTGTTCTTGGAAATGAAAGAAATGGACATCAGATCTGAGTTACACTGTCTCATCCTGATGCAACTGCAATTAGTTCAGGTCAACTGATAAAGCATGTGTCTCTCTAATTTTGCCTGCCATTGCCAGTGCATATACGAAACACCCATCATAGAACCACTTTAGGCAAAATGCCAAATGAACTCAAAATTTACAGCAGATAGGAGAGGTCTTGTTTTTATGTAAAATCTTCTGTGAATTAATGCATCATATTGGAGATCATGTAATGGTAGACTTTTAATGTGACTGGTGCTAACAGTTTCTCATCAAAGAGCCGAAGTAGGAAGTTAGCTAGTTAGGTATTGATGTGATCAGTGACATAATCATACTCACACCATTTGGTGGTGTTGATGCGATCAAAAACATAATCATACTCACACCATTTGGTGGTGTTGATGCGATCAGTGACATAATCATACTCACACCATTTGGTGGTATTAATGCAATCAGTGAGATAATCATACTCACACCATTTGGTGGTGTTGATGTGATCAGTGGCATAATCATACTCACACCATTTGGTGGTGTTGATGCGATCAGTGACATAATCATACTCACACCATTTGGTGGTATTAATGCAATCAGTGAGATAATCATACTCACACCATTTGGTGGTGTTGATGCGATCAGTGGCATAATCATACTCACACCATTTGGTGGTGTTGATGCGATCAGTGGCATAATCATACTCACACCATTTGGTGGTGTTGATGCAATCAGTGACATAATCATACTCACACCATTTGGTGGTGTTGATGCGATCAGTGACATAATCATACTCACACCATTTGGTGGTGTTGATGCGATCAGTGACATAATCATACTCACACCATTTGGTGGTATTAATGCAATCAGTGAGATAATCATACTCACACCATTTGGTGGTGTTGATGTGATCAGTGACATAATCATACTCACACCATTTGGTGGTGTTGATGCGATCAGTGGCATAATCATACTCACACCATTTGGTGGTGTTGATGCGATCAGTGACATAATCATACTCACACCATTTGGTGGTATTAATGCAATCAGTGAGATAATCATACTCACACCATTTGGTGGTGTTGATGTGATCAGTGACATAATCATACTCACACCATTTGGTGGTATTGATGCGATCAGTGACATAATCATACTCACACCATTTGGTGGTGTTGATGCGATCAGTGGCATAATCATACTCACACCATTTGGTGGTATTGATGCGATCAGTGACATAATCATACACCATTTGGTGGTATTGATGCGATCAGTGGCATAATCATACTCACACCATTTGGTGGTATTGATGGGATCAGTGACATAATCATACACCATTTGGTGGTATTGATGCGATCAGTGGCATAATCATACTCACACCATTTGGTGGTATTGATGCGATCAGTGGCATAATCATACTTACACCATTTGGTGGTATTGATGCGATCAGTGGCATAATCATACTCACACCATTTGGTGGTATTGATGCGATCAGTGGCATAATCATACTCACACCATTTGGTTGGTGGAGCTGATAAGGAAATGTATCTTTTTCTCTCTCACTTCAGCTGCTATATTTATTAGGTCATTGTTCCTTGATTTTTTCCACTTAACATGGAGAAATCAAGATAGTATGATACTCTAATTCTTTTGCTTTGTTTATCATGTGTGGAAACAGGAGTGTCAGAATGTGAGCATATGCATCCAAAACCAAAGTCTATCAACTGCCTAGCCTTCGAATTCATTGCTGGTAAGACAAAGGATGGGAGTTTGGCAATCCCGTTGCCACCAGTTGATCTGCCAGTGGTCCATTCAAGAAGTGAAAATCAAGGTATAAAGTAAACATTCTGTTTCTATTAGTTGATTCTTCTGAGACAATGAGTCTGTTAATAAGTGTAGCTGGCATGGAAAATGACGAATTTGTCATTGAAGATGTCAGCTTAGTAATATCAAATTTAATTTAAGTTACCTGTAGGAATGACCAATTGACAGCATATACAAGTAAAATCAAAGAAGCATCACTGACAGTAACTATGAAATGGATTCTATGACCAAACCCTGAATAAAAAATTACATTTACATATTATCCTACCCAACAGTCAAATAATTGTATTTTCTTTAGTACACACTATACATGAACATAAAAATGTTGTTGTTGTTGTTGGGCTTAATGCCATTTTTCAGCACACGATAGGCTATTCATGGCAGCCAGTATTAATGGTGGAGGAAGAAACCGGGAAATCACCAGAAAGAACCACCGACCCACGAGAAGCTACTGGCAAGCTTTCTCACATATCCGCATTCACTGAATCCTAGACTGGAACCCACGCAGACAGAGGTGAGATGGCAGTGATCCGTAATGGACAGCGCTTTAGACCACTCGGCCCCCCACATAAAAATGTGCTGAAGCATAAGTTTTGATATTTAAAAAGTGGGTGCTATAAGACAATAGTGCCAATGAATTTATGGAGGTAAAATCAGAAAAGCATCACATATGTATAACTATGAGCAGGTACTAAGACTAGATTAATTCAGAAAACTTACCTGAATGTATCCAGCCATATTAGATGTGATGTGATTATGATTTTTAACATAGCTTTAACAATGTTTCAGTCATATGGCTATGATGTCTGCAGTGTGGCAGATTTTAGTGATGTCTAGCACTGGGGCACCATGATGCAGACATGTAGCATGATGTCCCACCCAGTCACATTATCCTGACACATGGCCAATCAGTCCTAACACTAACCTCTTAATGTTGAGCATGAAGTGAGGCAGCTGTTAGTACCATTTTTGTAAGTCTTTGGTATGACTCAACTGGGGATAAAACCCATGACCTCCCACATCTGTGGTGGACGCTCTAACCACTAAGCCACCAGAGTGGTTTCCAGTCTTATTAGAAAATATAAAGCAATATTGTATGAGGATTAGACAACAGGCCTGAACTTATTTAAATACAGCTATGGCAATATGAGGGGATGAAACAGTGACCCATGCAGGTATTGACCAAGGGCATCTAAGTGTGTGAGAATGGCAAAGTGATGATGCTAAAAAAAGAACGTTTGTTATTAATGAAAGAAAAAAAGAAAGAAATGGAGCATGGTAGCCTCCTGTAGGTAGTTGATTTTTCCTGGAGTTTTGCTGGAATCTTCCTCTACTAGTTATGATGGCCATCATGTATAGCTTATCATTGTCACCATGTAGAGCCTATCTCTGTCACCATGTATAGCTTATCTCTGTCACCATGTATAGCCTATCTCTGTCTCCATGTAGAGCCTATCTCTGTCACCATGTATAGCATATCTCTGTCACCATGTAGAGCCTATCTCTGTCACATGTATAGCTTATCTCTGTCACCATGTAGAGCCTATCTCTGTCACCATGTAGAGTCTATCTTGGACTAAAAATGGCATAAAATCCCCAAACAACATCAACCCAAACCCTACCTGGAAAGAACTTTGAAAGCAAATGGTTAAGAAAAGAATTAGATGAGTCAAGGAAAGAAACTAAAAAGTTAAAGGTAGAAATTACAAATGCAGGAGATCACTCAAAGAGGGCCATGAAGATCGCAAATTACAATGAACAATACTCAAGAAAAAATTACATGAAAACCTTCAACTTGCCTGAATCACAAAATGAAAATGTCAGATCGAAGTTTGCAGAGATGGTGACGAATGTAACAGGGAAAGAAGTAGATGAGAGGGCATTATTACAATATATCAAATCCTTGGGAAAAGTGGCACCCTAAAGCCACCGATTGTGAAAGTTTGGAATACAGAATCCAAAGTCAATATTGTCAAGAAGAAAAGTGTGTATGTACTTGTGTGCGATTTAGATTTTTAACATAGCTTTAACAATTTTCAGTCATACTGCTATGATGTCTGCAGTGCGGCTTTGTCTCTAGGTCTCTAAATGATATGCAAAACATTTTTTTGAATTTCAGGGAATCGTTTCTTGCATTCCAAATGAATATAACAACAGAAAAGTCATTAAAAATTGGAGACCAATTTCACTACTTAATGTAGATTACAAGATTGCTTCAGCATCAATGCTTCCTAGGTGACAAAAGTCCTCCCTGTTATTAGTAACAAAGTTTTTTTTGAAAGGAGATTCAATGGTGATGATACAAGAATTTTGTATGACCTAATGCAGTGGAAGAAAATTAATCTGACCTTCTACTGATAGACTTCAAGAAAGCTTATGACCCAGTTGAATGAACTTTTGGAGAATGCCCTGAAATCTTTCAACTTTGGGGAATCTATTTGTCAGTGGTTCAGAGTACTCTTCAATAAATAAAAAATATGAGTAATTTTTAATGGTCCTTTATTCCTATTTTTCAATTTTGAATGAGGCTGTCATCCGAACACCCTACTTTCTTATAATAGGAGTTGAACTTCTTGCAATAGAACTAAAAAAGAACACAAATATTACAGGCATTTCCTATAATGAAGTTCCCATTAGGGCAGTGTGCTGAAAACATTTTTTAGTATTAGATGGTTATTCTTTGTCCTTGGAGATAACAATGCAGATTTTAAACAACTTTGCCTCTACAACATCTGCTCTGGTGGCTAGAGCATCATTGTCTATTTTAGCAGATGAAATAAATAGAAACTAATAATTTTATATACTGTTTTGCCCTTATTTCAAAGATGACAGTGAAGTGGAAAGAGAAAATTAAAAGTTTTTCTGAAAGTGGAAATGATATCCATGTAATTCTTGAAAAAGCTTCACCTCTTGGTGTAAAAGCAAATTATACATTTATTTATAAATATCTGATAAGAACCAAGTTACAAAAGCCAAATGTTAAATATGAAATTTAGTCCAGGCAGCCAGGGTGTACAATTGGTGTAAATGAATGGCCAAATTCTTTTGTTTTGGATAAATGCTGCAGAAAAGACACAAAACGTTTTGATTTCTATATAGAAATATTCCCACAAAACAGTTTTAGTAATAAATTAATTTAAGTGATAATGAAAAATGCAACTTCTGTAATGAGGGATTAGAACAAATTGAGCACTTATTCTACGAGTTCAGTTGCTGAATATATTTTTGGAAATTATTTGTAGAATGCATCCAAACTTATGATCCAAATTTTAAAATTACACACAAAGATGACTTTATAGGGAATAACAACTCTGATTATTTTATAAACTTCCTAATTTGTTTGTAAAATATGTTATGTACAAAGCACATTGCGGATAAAAAATTCCAAGTCTCATCTACATTAAATTTGTTTTATCATAAACACAGCTGGAAAAAGATGTTACTTAAGTAAATGATAGAAGTTATGAGTTCAAGAAAAAGTGGACCCTGTTGTCATCCTTTGATTTGTTTTATTATTTTATGTTTACTTTCACATCAAACAGCAATGTAAACATCTTGTGGTTTGTTTGAACGGTTCTTTGTGCACAGTATTTGTGTGAGTGCATGTGTATATGTATTGTGTCTAAGTATGGGCACATGTGTGAAAAGCTTCCAAAATGCTTGTGGATCATGTGGCCCCAATGTCTGTAGAGAGCATCTTACTTGTGTTTCTACAACAAGCATTTAAACTGGTTACAAATGTATCATTAGTTCATAATACCATCATTAGTACATATATCTATCTTATTCCAAATGGTTAACAAATAATAACAATGATCTTCATAATTTGATATGGAAATAAAATTACAGAATACCTAATTTTTGCAACAAGCATTTAAACTGGTTAAAAATGTATCATTAGTTCATTTTAAATACCATCATTAGTTCAAAATACTACTTAAATCTGATGCAACCTTTTTGTGTCCTATGACAATCTGTTATTTTATTGGAGATATGTTACTATTATTTTTATAAACAGGGTTCCTGCAGACTTAACAAAAACAAATTCCATGACTTTTCCAAAACTTTTCCAGGGCCATTTCATAAAACTCGAGGACCGCGCTATCTTGCATTATCAAGTACATGAATATAAAGAATGACATCTTTCAATCTAAAATAACAAATAAGTTAACAACAAATATTTTTAATATTTTTTTTAATATGTACATTTTAAATTTACCTGGGCTAGCACAATTTGATTTTATGTAGTAATTCATGTCATAATCCAATGATCAATGTAATCTTTGTATGTGTTTCTATTTACAATATTAACAAAACACATTACTTTCCAGTTTCTTTCTTTTATTTAGTGAACTACACTGGAAATCACATGATACTTCCATTAAGGGAACTTACTCTTGTATAATGAATTGAAACCATTTATCGATTGTAATTTTACCATTTTATTTAATCGGTTCTTGGTGCTCTATGAAATTGAAGTAATTAATTTCTTTAACTCCATTGTCACAAATTCCATGACTTTTCCAAAACTTTGCAAGGTTCTGACAAATTCCATAACTTTTCAAGGCCCTTGAAATTTATTTTTTAAATTCCAAAACTTTTCCAGGATTCCATGACCTGCAGGAACCCTGTATAAATGTCTATAATTATAATAACTGAAAACTACATATTTTACATTCATAAATCCATGAAACTTGAGAATAAGTTACACAAATCATGAATCTTCTTTGCTTCACCATCGCTGTTTATGGAGTGTTTCTTTGATTTTCAAGCTTCATGACTTCAAGAATGATGTAAAGTATAAAGTTCAAGTTTTAAATGATGTCTGTTATCACATATTGCAAAAAGTACTACTGCTGTCGATGATGATGAAGAAAATGATGATAATAGCAATAAAATAGAGTAAAATCCCCACAAAAATGACCAATTATAGTGCAACAAAACTGACACCAAAAAGTAATGTTAAAGACAAATTAATATAAAAGAAACGCCAATAAGATACATAATAGCATTTTATTATTCTTCACTTAAATTCATATCCACTGGCAAAACAAATTTAATTTTCCATATCCTGTAATGCCATACAATTTCATTTATTCGACATACTGGGGAAATAAAATGTGTTCCAATAAACAGTAGTTTGCATGACTGACTTCAAATTAGACCAAATCTGTGTATTTGTGGGACTTTACATGGTGTTCAGATACACTGATAAACCAGTAATTCCAATGAACAAGTTGCAAATAATCAAGGTTTTATTATAATTACAAAATATTTCTGATATCTATCTCCATCTTTGCATTTAACAACCTTTTAAAACTGATGTGATGAATACATATGTTAGTAAGACCAATTTAAATGATACATATTACAAACTGAAAAAGTCTGGTAGTAGTTTTACTAAATGTTCTAAAATTTCTTCCCCTGTTTTCTATAAAAATAATAAATATTGAATATACAATTTACCGAGTAACAGTTACTGGTACAATAATGTTTCTATAATACATAAATTCTAATCAGAATCCTGTTTATTCTTCTGATCAACAGAATTAATTATTTAAACAACTAATATTTTGATAATATTCTTTCTTATATATCATATTTACTTGCTCATAAATTTGGTATTGCAAATAAACACAGACACTGATCTGATGTTGTATAATGCACAGACAAATAAGGGTCTATGAAGTTAGTTCTACTGAATAATCCTGTCTGTGCATTATGCTATGATACATCTGGTTCTATACAGTTTGCTGTTGGAATCAACTTATAAATGAGTATATACAGTAATTTAGGAACTGAGATTATATTCCAGATTTTTTTATCATGTGATTATGAGAATTAAAAATCAATTAATTGTAAAATATCAACCTGCAGATGAAGATTTGAGTGGAAAATGGCAGCCTTTGACATTAAGTGAATGCTCATTTCAACAAGTGATTTTAACTTCATCTATTAGTGTGAGTTGTTCATCCAGACCAAAATCTGTCATTGTATAATATGCCATCAGATCATGGTCTTGAATTAATAAATAAAACAAAAGATATAGGTCCTGATGT